GGGGGTAAAAGTTCATAGATTAGGATTACCCAGGGATGTTTGACCATGAGGATTTAGGTGGGATGATCGCACCGAATATCGGGGCGGTCAGATGCCCGGTAGATTCGGACATCGACACCGCGGGGAGGGAGCTTCTCCATCTTTAATTTAGTTAACCCTCCCCGCGGCCCACGTGCCCTCTGGGCAACTAGGAGGAGACATACGATGGAACTGAATATCAGGACCATCGGTCTCAGGAAGTATTAATAAGTAGGGAAAAGAACTTGAAGGCCGAGCCAAGGGTTTTCCTTTGGCCCTTCGAGGGGAGGCCCATGGGGTCATGGACAGGGGATCCATGATCCTCTCGAGATGGGATCAGGGTTAGGGAGGGTGGGTAGCCGGCGTCTATCCACCCTCATGTAAATACAAGGCGAGAATACGTATATACGTATAAATACGGGGGTCCATCCGGAAGTACTACAGAGGTGAAATTCCCGGATGGACCCCAAACGTCCGGGTTAGGTACGCCCGCAGGGGTTTTAGTGGGTAGGCTTCTCGGGGCAGCAGCCCCGTGGAGAGAGTCCCACATACCCCGCCTCTCTCCCCCGGGGGAGGCGGGGATGCGTAACGAATTTCCCCTGCGTCACAAAAAAAAAGGTTGTGACCGGATATGTCCAGGAAAAGGTTAACTAAGGAATGGAGTAATTGGATCAAAGGAATGACACGGGAAGGTGGCGCTATCCTAGGAGCACTAGGAGATCAACTTCAGGAATGGTTGGACGCCAGGTTCGGTTTCTCCTTCCGGGCGATGCAGGTCCTCACGGGGCATGGTTGTTTCGGGAGGTACCTGTGTCGGATCGGGAGGGAGACCACCCGAAAATGTTGGCCCTGTGACTCGCTTAACGACTCAGCGAAACACACATTGGGGTATTGCCCAGCATGGGAGAGTGTGCGAAGAGAGTTACGCGAAAAAATAGGAGTAGATCTATCTCTGAAAGCCATCCTCAGAGCTATGAGGAGAGAAGAGGGAAGAGTAACGTTCCTTAACTTTTGTGAGAAGGTAATGTCCAAGAAGGAAGAGGCGGAGAGGGCGAGAGAAAGAATTAATCTGCCGACATAGAAATAGAAAGAACTCAATAGTATCATATAGGAAATTGTAGTCTAAGACTTATATCAGAGTAGGATTGTAGGGTAGGAGACGTCCTTAGTGTGAGATAGGTAGTTCAGGTAGAGTAAATAAGAGAAGAGTAGGAATTTAGATCAGCGTGAGATATAAGAGTAAGAACCACACGGGGACGGCTACCCTTATAGGTTAGGAGGGGTGATCGCACCGGTTAGCGGGACGATCAGAGGTTCGAAACTAATTCAGACTTCGATTCCGTGGGGAGGGGGGCTTCTTCAACTTTAATTTAGTTTCTCCTCCCCGGCCCTCGTGCCTATTGTGGCCAGTAGGAGGAGACAAACGTTGACACCGACTAGCGGGGTCAACGGTCTCAAAAGTAATATTGATAAGTAGGGAGAATACTCGGAGGCCGAGCCAGAGGCAACTCTGGCCCTTCGAAGGGAGGGCCCGAGGGACCATGAACGGGGGTCCATGTTCCCCTCGAGTAGGGTCAAGGGTAAGGGAGGGTGTGTTGCCGGCGTCCTCACACCCTTATATGTAAACAAAGAGTTTACACAAGGTTAAGGATACAGGTTTACGTATCAAACGGGGGTCCATCCGGAAGTACTACAGCTACGAAATTCCCGGATGGGCCCCAACTCGTTCGGGTTAGGTACGCCCGCAGGGGTTTTAGTGGGTAGGCTCCCCGGAACAGCAGTTTCGGGGAGAGAGTCCCACATACCCTGTCTCCCTCCCCCGGGGGAGACGGGGATGCGTAATGCATTTCCCCTGCGTCACAAAAAAAAAGGTTGTGACCGGATTTCCCTCCTTCCCGGGGTGATTCGAGGGGGGTGACGGATGAGAACTCAGGCCTCTGTGACGGCGTCCCTTCCAAAACAGAGGTCCGAGTGGAGTCTTAGCTCGCAGGGGGGCACTATGTGGTCCCCTGCGGGCGTGCTGGTCGCCATGGCGGGGAGGATGCGGAGGGGGCATCGCCTCCGTTGCCCAAACCGTCCATGGGGCCGCCCCGAGTGGCGTCACCGGTGTCGGTACCCCCAAGGTCGGAGCCGGGAGACTCCTGAAAACATAAGGCATTGCACCCAAGCCGAAGGCCAGGGGGGGCTGGAGCCCAGTGCCCGCGATGCACATTCCGCGGGCCCGAGGCACATGCCTTCCCCTCGGGAGAACTCAGGGCCCCGCCAAGCAATTGGCGGGGAGGGTACGCCCTGGAAGGTACAGCCGGCACGGGGAGTGGGATCAAACCGAATGGAAATGGAACAAAACAAATCAGTCATCAAAATGGTAATAGAAATAGACAAGGATGAGCAAACAAACATAGATCTTACACAAGGACAGGCGCAACCGTACCACATACTACCGGTTGTTCATATCGAGAATCAATCTTAGGAATCGAGAGCGGAGAATGCCAAAGGGGACAGTAGCCAGCCTTCTTCCTCTTCATATTTTAAAAGACCAGGCCCTAGATTTTATAAAGGGAGGACAGCAGAGCGTCACAGTATGGAATCTTCGGTTATGGACACAGAGACATATGAAATAAGCTCGTCGGATAGCGACGTAGCTGACTACGGTAGGAATAGGAGGAGAAGAGCTGTAATCGAAGAAGACTCGGATGTCTCCCCACCTGAGAAGGTCAATATTGGGAACACAGGACTTCAAAGAACGACTGGCAACAGAAAAAGAGAAAGACTGGCCTCTGATGCTGACACCGACTATAGAAGAAGCAGAACAACCGGAGACTACGTTGGCAGGAGGGAGGCTATACAAAAGTATAATGAAGCGAAGGAAGAATCCCTACAATTAGATAGGGAAAAACTCATTAGAGAGTATAGCAGTTTTGATCTTTTTAAGAAAGCAAAAGTTAATCTCGAAAAGAACAGCTGGAAGAGAACTCAATTGAGGAAAAACTGGCGGAAAAAGTAAACGGAAATATGACTGAGGTTCTTCGTATTGCGGGATCTTCCAGTAACTTAAAGGGAACATTTCAGAAAAGCCTGAAGATCGCGGCAGCCTCGTCCATGGGGATTTTTGAGATCATGAAAGAGAGGGCAAATCTATCCAAAGAGGACGCAAAGTCGGAAGAGGTTAAAGCACTTAAGCGGGAAATCTCTAAATTAAAATTCAAATTAGAAGAAGGAATAGAAGGTGAGAGGAGAAAAGCCTTATAGGCGGTAGGCGAAGCGGAGGCCTATAGGTTGGAACTACAGGCGCTCAAAAAGAAAGAAAGACAGGATAAAAAGGACAAAACTCCCAGTCCTAGAGAGAAGGATAGAGAGAAAAGTAACAGAGGAAAGCGATCATCTGATATTACTAAAAAGAGTCCTAGAAGAACCCCATCAGATAAAATAAAGGCGAGGGATAAACTCATAACGTCAGAATCAGAGCATATGGATGTAGACGAGAAGTCGCCCAAATCAAAGAAGGTCACATTGGATAATCCAGAAAAATGCCCAGAAGTGAGACGACCCACGCTGTGGAAAGAGAAAGATCATAAAGGAAGGTATCACAAAGGGCAATATATGAAGCCCATAAGAAATATATATAGGGCAATATATGAAGCCCATAATAAATATATAGGAGGGTAACAAAGAAAGAGCAGATCAAAAATTAGCTGTCAAGGAAGGAAAGGTAGAGGGATACAAGAACAGGAGAAGCGAAACAGGATTTGACACGACGGAGTTAGAGGACATGATCAGGAGAATTGTCGCGGAGGAATTGTCCAAATATAACAGAAAACCAATTATTACGGAGATTTAAACCGAAAATACCTATCACTCTGGAAAAAGCAAAGAGTAAATCTATGGATAGAAATAAGCAAACAAAAGAAGATAATAAAGTTATTAAATCTAACTCTAAAAAGACTACCTCAAAAGATACTGAGAAGGAAAGAAAAAGGAAGACAACTTTGGAAGAAGAAACAGACAGGGAAGAAAAAGATAAAGAGCTACCTTGGAGTAAAGTAGTAGGAAGAAAAGACAAGAATGTAGTAAGATTGTGAAAGAAGACTGGAGTAAATAAAACTTTTCTTTACACCGGCGAAATCTCCCAAAGTCTCACGGGCGGAAGGAAATAAGGATAATAGAAGAGTGCCGAAGACAGCGGCCATCCAAATTAGCTGCCGCGGAGAGGCGTCCTACGCAGATGTCATGCGCACAGCAAGGGAAAAAGTAGACATAGACGCAATGGGGATTCACGAGCTAAGACCCAGGAAGTCTAGAACAGGAGCACTGTTACTGGAGATTTCAGGTGCAGAAAGCGGTAATAAAGCAGACAAATTAGCCGAGAGACTGAAACAAGCATTGGAAGGACAGCAGGATGTTCTGGTGTCGAGACCGGAAAAGATGGCAGACATCAGAATGAAGGATTTGGAAGTCAACTACAAAAGAGGATATCCTCTTGGCACTCACTCTACTAGGGAACTGCTCTGAGAAGGTATTCAGATTAGGAGAGATAATCCCGTCAATAAATGGATTGGGAACATTGTGGATTCGATGCCCTTTGGCGGTGGCTAAGAATATAACAAAGAACAGGCGGATACGAGTGGGATGGGTAACGGTGAGGGTAGACCTACTACCTGAAAGGATTAGCCAATGCTACAGGTGTTTAGAACCGGGACATGTCAGGAAGCATTGTAAGAGCGAAACAGATAGAGGCTCCCTGTGCTATAGGTGCGGAAATCATGGACACATGGCAAAGGAATGCAGCGAGGCGGCACACTGTCCAATCTGTGCAAACAGAAATATAAAGGCAGATTATAGGATGGGTGGGCCAGCATGCAAGCCCCCTGTACTTAAAGGAAAGAACAAAAAGGAGGATAGACCAAGTAGAGGGGAACCTTCTCTAGGACAAAATAAAAATAAGGAGAATCTGAGAATGGAGGTGGAGGAAAAACACCAGAATCAGCCTCAAACAGAGGAAGGAAAAGAGAGGGAAGCAAGTGTTATCAGACAATTGGCCAAGTGTAGCGTAAAAGAGGGAGCTAAGTCTGAGGATACAAGAGTCACAGAAGAAATGGAAATAGAGGAGACCAGGACGGAAAGTTCTCTCGGCAACCAGCCATCTCAAGTATCACTGGAATGGCCAGAGCTGGGACAGGAATGGACCATGACCACCCAGGGCACACTGGGAAAAGAAGACAATGGAGAAGGAGGACTCCATTATAGCGACAAAAATAATGAACAATAAAATCCTCCAAACAAATATTAATCATTCCAAGGACGGACATGAGATACTACTACAAACCATGGCAGAGGGAGAATTTGCGGTGGCGGTGATATCAGAACCGTATAAGGTACTGCAAAATCATCCACACTGGATAGGAAACGTCGATAGATCGGTCGCAATTACATGGAGGCGAACACATAATCCTATGCCTTGTACACCACTAAAAAGCGGCAAACACTACGTTTCGATACGCTGGGGCGATATGATCTTGATTAGCACATACCTCCCCCCTAGCTTGGATGAGGGCCAATTTGAGGAAGCCCTCGAAGAAATGGAGGAAGGGATCCAACAGATGGACAACTCTCCGATATATGTCTTGGGAGATTTTAATTCCAAAGCAGTTTTGTGGCAGTCAAAGACCACGGACATGCGTGGAAAAATAGTAGTAGAATGGGCAAGCCGTTTGGGTTTATGCTGCCTTAACCATGGAGGAAAAAGCACTTGTGTCAGACATACAGGGGAGTCTATAGTGGATCTCTTATTTGCCACACCAGTAGCAGCAAGAAGAATTTTATCGTGGAAGGTCTCAGATCACGAGAGTAAAACGGATCATAGATACATTGAAATCAAGATCAGGAATACTAGAATACAAAGAATGAAGGAGCGCTTCCCACAACCCAAGAGATGGGCAGTCAAAAAATTGGACAAAGACATGCTATCAGCAGCTATAATAGCTAGCTGCTGGCCCAAACATAATATGACTGAGGAATCCATAGGAGAGGAAATTGAAGCGACGGCTAAAAGACTCCAAGACACAATGAAAGATGCCTGTAACATAGCCATGTCGAGGATTGAACCTAGATTGCGCAAAGCCATGCCATGGTGGTCTGCAAAGCTAGAACAACTGAGGCGGATCTTTCTACAGCTCGAAGAAGGCTAAGAAGATTAAGGAGAAGAGATAACCAAGACGAAGAGGAATTCCAATTGAGAATGTGTGAGTTTAGATTAGCAAGAGACATCTTCGGTAAGGCGATTAGGAAAGCGAAAGCAAAATCATGGGAGGAATTCGTTCTGACCTTAAACGAAGACCCATGGGGCCGGCCATATAAGGCTGTGATGAATAAATTAAGAAGATAGGCTCCTCCTTTTACCAAATCCCTAAATAGCGGGACCCTGGACCGAGTGCTTACGGGGCTCTTCCCAGGAGAGAGAGAGGACAACTGGAGGGAACCAGAGTTGCCGAATGAGGGAGAAACGGCATGGAGGGAAGAAATGAAAGTAACTCAAGAGGAACTTATGCTGGCAGCGAAGAGAATGAAAGAAAAAGACGCGGCCCCAGAGCCAAGTGGAGTTCCAGCAAAAGCATGGGCTATAGCGGCAAAGGACATGGCTAGAGAATTGAGAGAAATATACTCAACATGCATTAAATCCGGTAAGTTTCCGAAAAAATGGAAAGAGGCCAAATTAGTACTTCTCAGAAAGCACAATAAGCCAGACGACCAGGCAGCCGGGTATCGTCCAATATGCTTATTGGACGATGAGGCAAAGATGCTTGAAAGAATCATATTGGAAAGAATAATCTCCCACCTGGACACTAGAGGACCGAATCTAAATCAGAGACAATTCAGCTTCAGGAGGGGCAGATCAACAATATATGCAATTTCATTTGCTAAGGCATTCATGGATAACGCGTTTGAAGAAGGAAAGGTGGTAGTTGGAATATCACTTGATGTTAAAAATGCCTTCAATTCTATGCCATGGAGAATAATAGGAAAGGCACTAAATAAGCACAAAGACCCGTTATATCTGAGAAGGATAATCAAGGATTATTTAAAAGATAGGAAGCTCTCTTTCCCCAAAAATGATGGAACTATGGGTGAAAGAGGAGTGCAAAGAGGAGTCCCACAGGGTTCCATTTTAGGGCCATTGTTATGGACCATCGGTTTCGACGATGTAATGAAGAAATATGACAAAGAAGAAGAAGGCTGTATAATATGTTATGCGGATGACACGTTAATCCTGGTATCTGGTGAGGACTGGGATGACGCTACCATGGAAGCAAACATAACAGTAGGTGCAGTGATACAAAAGATCGAGGAGATGGGGCTAGAGATAGCCCCATCCAAGACTGAGATTGTAGGATTCCACGTGAAAGGAAGACCCGCGAGTACATCGATCAATATAGCAGGAACAGAGATCTCGGTCGGCCAAAGAATGAGATATTTAGGGTTAACTTTAGATAGTAGATGGTCATTCACGGTCCATTTTACAGAACTTGCGCCAAGATTGGAGGGATCAGCCCTCACTCTAAGTAGGCTTCTACCAAATTTAGGGGGACCGAACGATAGGGCTAGAAAACTATATACGAATGTTATCAAATCTATAGCTCTATACGGAGCGCTAATATGGGCGTATCAGGTGTGTAAAAACAGAAAGGCTATCCAAATATTAAGAGGGGTCCAACGTAGAATTACAGGTAGGATAATTAGAGCGTATAGGACAACATCGCACGCTGTTAATTCAGTCCTGGCAGGAGTTCCACCATGGGAACTGGAGGCAATATGCTATGAGGAAATATACGAGAGGGTCTCTATCCCGAGAGGAAGAGGCAATCCAGTCAATAAGAATGAAGTAGAAACTATCAAGGAAACCTCGAGGAGGAAAATGATCGGAAATTGGGGAGAATGGTTGAAGGAAACAACCCAAGAGGAAGACACCATCCTCGGTGCAGATCAATTGAAGGAATGGTCGAACGCTGGAGTGGGCCTCTCCTTCCGGACGACGCAGGTCCTCACGGGGCACGGATGCTTCGGGAGGTACCTGTGTCGGATCGGGAGGGAAGCCACGCGAAGATGCTGGCACTGCGATTCGCAAAATGATTCGGCGAGACATACTATGGGGTATTGCCCTGCGTGGGATACCGAACGAACAGAGTTGCAAAGGACTATAGGAGTAGATCTCTCCCTCAAAGCAATAGTTAGAGCTTTGAGAGGAGAAAAGGGTAGAAAAGCAGTACTAGAGTTTTGCGAAAAAGTAATGTCTCAGAAGGAAGAAGCGGAAAGGCATAGGGAAAGAGCCAGCTCTCCGGCTCAATAATACGCGATCACACAAGATAAGATAGGAAAAGGGCAATATAGCTAATCATAGAGAGAAATTAGGAGGTCCCCGTCGTGGATTTACTATAGATAGCTAGAACAGATTAGTTTAGGGAAACATCGGTGAGATAAATGTGCGAATAAGGCCACGCGGGGACAAGTACCTTATAGATAGGAGGGATGACCGTACTGTCTAGCAGGACGGTCAGATGTGCGTAACTACGGACATCGATCCCGCGGGGAGGGGGCTTCTCCAACTTTAATTTAGCACACCCTCCCCGCAGCCCTCACGCCTACAAAGGCCATCAGGAGGAGACATACGGGGACACCGAATAGCGAGGTCCTCGGTCTCAAAGATAGTCACATAAGTAGGAAGAATACTCGAAGGCCGAGTCAAGGTTTACTTGACCCTTCGAGGGGAGGGCCCACGGAGCTGGGGACGGGGGCCCTCAGCTCCCACGAGAGGGGCCAAGGGAAAAGGAAGGTGTGTTGCCGACG